CTTTACAGAATGAAAATCCGACCAATCGCTCAAAAATTATAAAGGTGATCAGGTTTTTTTCCCTGTAAAATTACACTGACGAGCATATTATTTGTTGCATTTATGCAAGTACTTAATCTTACATAATTCATGCATGAGGATTTCAAATCTGATTTAGTTTTGTTCTGAAAGCTGCAAATTTTTTTCAAAACACACACGCATGTATTCATTTGTCTACTCCTTTTGTCCTTTGTTGCATTTATGCAAGTACTTAATCTTACATAATTCATGCATGAGGATTTCAAATCTAAATTAGTGTTGTTCTGAAAGCTGTAAATTCTTTTCAAAACACACACGCATATATTCATTTGTCTACTCCTTTTGTCTTTTGTTGCATTTATGCAAGTATTTAATCTTACATAATTCATGCTTGAAGATTTCAAATCTGATTTAGTTTTGTTCTGCAAGCTGAAAATTTCTTTCAAAACACACACACATATTCATTTGTCGACTCCTTTTGTCTTTTGTTGCATTTATGCAAGTACTTAATCTTACATAATTCATGCATGAGGATTTCAAATCTGATTTAGTGTTGTTCTGAAAGCTGCAAATTTTTTTCAAAACACACACACGCATATATTCACTTGTCTATTGCTTTGAAAATAACGATAAGACAAAAAAAAAATGACCTGAACTATAACGTGAACTTACAACAACATAAACTGGATAGTTTTATTACCTTCTTTATACCACGCGCTACGTATCAGAAAAGTGGGAACACTTAGTAACAACTCGAGTGAATATAAATTCAGACTACATTATTAATTTCATAAAACTATAGCTTGTAGAAAGAAACCGATAGACGATTTGAAATTAGCGATACAAAAGTACTTAAGATGTGTTAAAAAATCTATCGCAAAAAGAAAATGTTCCTTATTGTTATTATTGCATTTTGTTCACGGGTTCGAATCCCAGCAATGGCTCGTCGATACGAATTCCAAATTCGGCTTGCACCGACCACAGTGCTGACGTAAAATATCCTCAGTGGTAGATGGATCATGGCTTAGAGTCCCTCTGTCGTCAGGCTAACCGTGGGAGGCTTTCGTGGTCTTTCTCTCCATGTAACGCAATTACGGGTTAGTTCTATCAAAAAATCCTTCACAAAGGCAAATTTTTTGATCCATGAGTTCTTTTGTCTTCTGGATTGGGTTCAAAATTACAAGGCTACAGAGCTGAGCATGATTAATCGTAAACCCAAAAAATTGGTTCTGCTATTCAACGAAGGTTATAAAATAAAATGGTTTTGACTGTAAGGTTAAAAAGTAATATGCACGAGTCAATTTTAAGCCTTACTCTGTAAAAAATAGGAGTTGACCTTGTTGAAGAAATATGTACGGATATCCATCTGGTTCATTCATTTTTCTTGACCCACATTCTACAGTAGTTTAAGGACAGACATTTTCGCTATAACCACATTTATTTCTCAATCTTTCAAGGTCTGAGAAAAGTGAAATTGTTATCTTTCCAATGATAGAAATGAAAACGGATCAAATAAGCAAGGTTAAGTCTTTATGACGTCAAAGAAAGCACATTTCAGTTAATGGTTAAAAAATTAGTCATGCTTTTTTCGCTAAAATTATAGTTTTTTTTTTCTGTGAAAGTATATGAAAAATATGTGTTTTCAATATTAACTAGATTCAAAATTTACATGCCAATTTATTTCAATTCATTAAATATAGCAGATACTGACATATATTAGGGGGACCGGAAAGTAATGTCTTTTCTGTGCATTTGATATTTGTTATCTAGATTTTATTTTTTATCAATAATCTATTCACCCTCGTTAGCAACAACCTTTCAATTCTGGATTGAAAATGAATCGAAAAAAATGAATTCGTTTTTTAAGGCTAACGAATATTTAATGAACCGAAACATCACTTTCTGGTTTTTATGCATATATATAGTTAAAGAACATAATTTTTGCCATGAATTAAAATTTTTCAGCTTATTCCATTCCCTCTGTGATGCCACCAGGAAGTTTTGGCGGTGGTATTGATCCGAAAATCTACCCATAGAATTTTAATATAAAGGATATAACACTTTTTAAAAAAAATTTCAAACTAAATAATCAAAATTTCAAATAAATATTCAATGCTTTAAATTTAGTGCTTTCAATGTAAAGTTTTATTTTCTTTCTCTTATAATTTCAGCCACAGCTCTTCATCTTTAAGCAAATCTACCAGGAAGGAACAATTCAATTTTGAGATGGGCTCCTGATATTGCAAATGAAAATGGGAGAGGGGGTATCCCTACTTGCCATAAAAAGCCTATACACCGCAGAATACGACTCATCAAATACAGCAGACTATGAACAAATCCCCATCTTCCTAAATGTTGACAATAGTATACTCAAGACCAACCAGAATAAACAATGCACCAAGGCACTCCCTCACCGAACTGGATATAACTTGACTCTTTCCAGTAATTCTGAATACCATTTGAATTGGAGACCTCAAATCTAATCATTTCTCATGGGGCTGTGATAGAGCTTACAGAAATGACACCAATCTGTAGAAACTTGTCAATAGCTCACCTAGAACCAAATTGTATCCATTGACATCACAATCACAAACCTAAATGTATCTATAGCTGTTAGTGTAAGCCGCAAACATTCATCCGACTATCATCCATTGTATAATATCAGTTGGGTCTCCATAGTTGACGCATTTAATGAATTTCCACTGTCGCGAAAGATTATAAAACCAATTTTCTGAAGCTTCTTTCAGATATCAAAGTATTAATCAAACAGAGAAACTGGCACAGGAAAACCTATCAAAGAACCTTGGATACTTATTTTAAATAGAAGTGCAAATTCCATACAAATTTCCAAGAAGTGCCGATATCATGGCGGAAGACAATGAGTAGAGAAAATCAGCGATCTAAACACTGCGGACAATTCAATTTAGAAACTAGTAAAAGCATTTTGCACAGACAAACCAGTAAACAAACCACTCAAAAGCCCAAAGGACGTGTACGTATATACAACAGACAGAGCAGAAATCTTTGCAGATATTCTGAAAAATTAGTTTTGCACCACTAAAATCTTTGATAATGTTAACCATCAATAAGTCATCACTGAAGTCAGCACTTTTAACGCACAAACAAAGAACCTGATCCCATAGAAGAAACTGCAGAATTGAAGCTTACAGAAATCATCATAAGGTTGAAACCGAAAAATGCACATACAGTATGATTATATATAGATAATATAGATATAGATATATATTTAACATTTCTGATCTATAGTCAGGATCAGATGTTTTTTGTATTTAGATCTGCACCAATTTCGCTGCTTAATTAGTAATTTTATGTCAGGTGGGAGTTTGTATGGTAAGCCTTTCTGCTGATTACGGTATTAAAAGCATCAATTATTTCTTGTTGAATTTTTTCTAAATCTTAACCAAAATCAGGGGAGCTATTTCTATTTTTGGCGATGATTTTTTGAAGATAAGAGTGTTCTTGTAGGTATTCCAATTTGTGGTTGAAATTTGTTAGCTTTTCCTCTCAGGAGGAATGCCCAGAATGATCAAAACTGGAAAATGGTTCGATGAAAGTTCACTAATAAAACTAGCTACGATTGGTTCTTAAATATTTGTCAGTGAAAAATCAAGTATGTCATGTCCTTGGCTTCTGTTATTAGGAATTAATATAGGTGGGTTCAAATAGTGGTGTTACAATTAGTTCACATTTACTGACTAGGCTTTTTAGTTGTAGACCATTTAAGTTGCTTCTATAACATCCCCATACAGTGTGTTTGAAGTTAAAATCACCTGGCACTATGGTACCAGAGATACCAACTTTCTCCTGACAGTAGATTTATATTTCCGACTGGTAGTTTTTTAATGTATGATTCTTGCCATAGTAAATGCGATTTATAAGGTTTTTACTCAGCACCACTTCTAAATAAATCGAAGCCTTATTGGATACGCCACTTTCTTACAGTTAAGCCGTGTTGAGCCTTTTAAAAAGTGGGAAAAATTTACCGAAAATCTGCAAATTTTAGTTTGTAGTTTCTCTATCGTTTTTTAAATTATTTTGTCATACTTTGAGCAGTTGGCATCTATGTGGTATGAGAGAACTGGAATAAAATGAGATGAACAAAATGAATGATGTTTCATATGAACTTCTTTTAAATTATTTACATGTAGCGGTGTGGAAAATAATTTTGTAGAATATGGCAACCTTGAATCATGAGTGTTTATAGGTTGAAGTTATGCTAAACGGTAAAAAGTATAATAATTCCCTGTTTGTAAGTAATCAGGATATTCGTGTTCTCCATAACAAATTGGAATTCAAAAAATCTACGCCTAAATATGAAATCATGGTATCGTTTTTGATGCCATAAATGTAGCTAAAAGTAAAACATGCCCACATTAGCCCGTTGTGGACCAGGAAGATGTGGAGGTTAAGGCTTCACAATTTCGTAATCAACGGTATGATTGTGACAACGTGGTCAGTACAGACCACCTTTACTTCACAGACAAGCTGATATCCACCCATCTAGATGTAGGTGGTATTCAAATTGCCACTGGGGACCGAATCCCAGTCCGTCACAATGACAATTCAGTGCCTTAACCATTAAGCCATCGTGATTCAATAAAAGAAGCGAGAATTAGAAAATATTTACCTGTTATTTACAAGCTTAAGTACCCACTTATAAGATTATTTAAAAACGATAACTCTTAAAAGAAGAAAGATATGCAAACGAACTTAGATTCAGATATTAATAATCACCTTCATATATTTTAATATCAGAAATCTAATAAAAGGCTTTAACAGATAAGAATAAACAGGAAGAAAGATCTGGAAACCCGGAACAGTACAGATCAAAAAAAATTGTTTTTTAAAAAAAAAGAAAACGATATCAGGCCTGGAAGTAATGATTCATATCTAAATCTATATATTTTGACAAGGCGTTAAAATTTGATTGGAGAAAAAAATTATTATTTCAAAACCCCAGCGAAGATGAGCCAGAAAGTCAGAGTTCAAAGTTCAATCTGTTATCATTATTTTCGCCATCGGGGAATCCGTTCGCAAGTGCAATATAATTGGACCTATGGAACCAATGCCATCCTTTAAAACGCCTGTTCTCCTCGGTTCTGTACCTTGAATAGAATAAACTAAATCTCTTTGATTAGTGATTTAGAGCAATTGAATTGAGAACAGCCAAAGGTAAGCCATATATTCTTTTAGTTTTGTTTGCATACCTGCTAACTTTTAATCTTTTGGAGAAAATTTTCCCTAGTGGTGGTAAAATTAAAAATGAATTACAGTCATATGCAGAAATACATAACTGTCAACTTATACGCATTTTGTGTAAAATTTTGTCTTTATGTTTAAAATGGTAGCGAAATTTATGCTTTTCTTGAATTTCTAAATTTAATTTAGAGTGATTTCGGCCATCACTACATGCATTAATATTTATATAAATGCATAATAATTATACGTTGTTACTTTTGAATCCTTTGACAAAAATAAGAAAGTTCTTTGTGGTTATTACTGTAATTCAATTTTCATTTTACTACAACTGCAGAAAATCATCTTCGGAAAGATTTAAAGTTGGTAGGTTTGGAAATATATTTTTTAGTTCGTTAAAAGTTTATCGTATAATTATCATACTTTTCTGAATATGTTTAATTTATTTATTTTCAGTATTGAACAAAATTATTTTAAACTAAGTTTATAAATCCAAGAAATAAATAATAAGCATAGACTTTACTTTTACTTTAAGTATAAAAATAAAATTGTACTCAAAATGCGAAAAAATTGTAGTTATATGCTCGCATTTTTGAAGTGCGAACCCAGAATTTTTCCGCTGTTCTCGTAGACTTAAAAAAAATTTTAACTGAAGGACTTATTGTGAAATGTTAACAAGCAATTAATAAAAAAAAAACTTGTGGCATATTTACAATTCTGTTTAATTGATTGTATCTCGTTTTAAATACAACATTTACATTAAAATTGCTTGAATTATTTTTAAAACTTTTTGATGCTGATATATTCTCTTAAATTTTTAAAAATGATGAACTATTTATTCAGTATTTAAAATTTATTGATAATTTCTTTTAAAAAAATACTTTTAATTTTTGATATAACTTAATATATTGTGTTTTAGCATTACGCAATATTTTAAATATATTTATAATAATTCACATTAGAATTAAAAAATCTCAAATTTTGGATCATTTACTTAAATTGATTCATATATATTGGTACCATAAAATACAGTTTTTTATCTTAATATTACTATCAATTAAAAATATTCTCCTGGCGCTTAAGAACCCTAAAATTATATAGTATTCCTTTTATTAATTTGAAAAAAATTATGTATCAAAGTAAAAAAAAAAGCATCAGTTTCCTTAAAACAAATTAAAGTAAAATAGTTAAAGTATAGTTCAGGGGTGGCTAAGCTCCTTGATAGTCGAACTATTTTTCAAAATGTGAAATTTTTCACTAGCCGCAATTAAATACGTATTTAAAAGGTATGCCAAAAAGGTATTAAAATTTTTTTTTTACAGAAATTATATTTATTGAAAGCATATAAATAAAAGTGCAACACATTTAAACACATTTATTTTTCTTCCCTTGATAATTCTTTAAAATTTGGTGAATAGATGGTGACAGCATCTCAAAGAATTACTTCTCAGAAATTCTTTGAGATGCTGGTTAGTTAATACAGATCAGTGTTTGGATTTCACAAATTTTAAAGTGTAATAAAATTATTCACATAAGTATGTTGTTCCGAATATTGAAATAATTCTACAAGCAGCCTTTTTTAATTCAGGATACTTCGATTCTGGTAAAAATTTCCAAAATTCAGAAATCGACGTCGACTTATATTTTAATTGTAGAGCTTGATCTTCTTGCATCTCTATTAATTCTAATTCTCCAGATGCTTTTTGGAATATTGGAAATGGATTAATTGGAATTAATCCATTTTTAATATTCCAAATCCAATAATTCATTTCCATAATTATATTGGAAATGGAAAACTCACCTTGAATTATGCTAATTTCAAATGGATTCAGAAAAAAATTAAGAGACGATTTAAAATATTTCAAGTCTTGAAATCTATTTTGGAATTCCGTCAATATTCCTTTTAGCATTTTTATATACTCGTTGAGTTTTTCTTGTTTAATATTGGAAAAAAAAATTTTAATTCGAGGAAAATGACAAAACGTTTTATTTTTAATGTCCTTTTGAAAAAGTTGTAATTTAGTTTAAAAACTGAATATACACTGCGAGAGGTCAGATATTATTTTATCTTTCCCACTGCAATTGTAAATTCAGTGTTTGCAAATGTTCCATGACATCGGTCATCGGTTAAAAGCATAAGTCCTGTAACTACTCATCATCGTCTAATTCTGAATAGGTTATTTGCTTTTCTTTTAGAAATGCAGTTATCGGATCAAACAAATCTACAAAACGATTTAATGCATTGTAGCTAGATAGCCATCTAACGATGCAAAAGAAATTAATGTCATTTAAAAGTTCTTAGTCCTTTAATTCTTTAAGGAAATTTTTGAATTGTCGATGATTTTTTGCATTGGTGCGAATGTAATTTACAGCGTGTAACACTGTTTTTATAACATCCTGATATTTTAAATAGTTTGTAACGAGATGTTCTCGGTGAATTATGCAGTAAATCGGTATGAATTGTGGAATTTGAGAATCATCCCTTAAAAGCCCAATAAGACCGATTTTTTTACCCAGCATTGCCGGAGCTCCATCAGTTGTAATGCTTACAAGTCTATTAAGCACATCAAAATTTTTCATTGTGGAATCTAATGAATTTTTAATATCGATACAGCGGGTTGACAAGAGTCAACCCGCTGTATCGACCGCTTTAGTAGCGCTTCAAGAGAAGTGCTACTAAATCTAATAATTCTTCTTTAACAACGAAGTCAGGTGAAACAAACCGTGTGAAAACTGCCGTGCTTAATAAACGTGTGAATTGCGGAAGATCTGTGATATCTGTCAATTCGTCAAGGGCTAAGCTGAATGTAATACAGTTCTTCAAATAATTTTTTAAATTATATTCAAGAGATGTATCAATTGTAGTTATGCGTCGTTCGGTTGCGTGTCTTTCACATTTGTTGTCAGTAATTTGAAAGACATTTTGAAACACATACGGAACGATAATAATTTTTTGAAATATAATGGCACAAAAATGAAAAGGGAACTCAGGTACATTTATCGAGAGCGACAAATAATCCTTCAAAGAGCCGCATGTGGCTCGCGAGACGCAGGCTGCCCTCCCCCCCCTGTTATAGTTTTTCAAATTATAATGAAATTATGTTTCTTAGTTTAAGAAAATCGTTTGCAAGTTGAAGCAATGAATTATTGATTACGTATTCTAAGTTTAAGCAACAAGAGAACAAAACGAAACTAGATCTTATCTCTCGTTCCAATTCAGATACAGATACAATTTTAAAGAAAGCGAATAGTAATATTTTGTTGAAATAATTAAGGAAGTATCTAATCTTTCAAAGGTTTTGTTTCTCTGACTTCCTTAAAAATACAAATTTCAACTTGAAGCAACGTATTTTTCAACGTAAATATTTTATGTGAATTATTATTGCATTATGCATCTTTGTTTCTGCCAAAAATTAAACACTGTAATGATTCAT